ACACAACGTCGGAGTTGTCCAACAAAACTCAATTATATTGTGAATTCCATACTGAATCCAACTGAATCAAAAGACCGCATAGAATATGAGATTCATTATGTATATATATTTATTTACATTAAACCAAATATTGTATGGAATAGTGAGAAAAATCTTTGCGGAGAGTCTGACATTTGTCATGTGATCTACTAAGCTGTTCCGACCCAGGGGAATAGTATATTTAACCGCCTCCCCCCCACACACGAGTGTTGTATGTGGAACAAGGCCGAGTTTAACGTGGGTTATCCGAGCCCGTAGGATCGGCGAAAAAAATGTCCATAGAACCCACATAAACGGGATCGGGTTGGTCAACCTCCTCAAAAGCGTCTCTGCCCTTCGGCATAGCCTCGTCCGGGTTCCTCTCTGCTCAGAGGCAGAGAGTTCGACCTGCTAGCCGAAAAGATTTCGGCTAGACTCATAGTGATTTTCTAAGCACAGCTTAGATGTGACACAAGGCCGAAAGTAGGAGGCACCCAGTGAGGATCGAACTCACTACTTAGTCATAAATGTTCTAGCGAGACAAGCTTGTTAACCATTACACCACGGGGAGGTGGCCCCAACCCAGGGGAATAGTTGCTAAGAATATCCTCTCCCTAAATTTATAGATAAATTCTACAGATGCATGCTGGGATTTCTTCTTGGCCAATAAAAAAAATTGACCACTTCTCAGTCTCATCCGCCATATTTATTCGTTCTTTCTTGTCTTGAAGCCAGAACTCTAAAACCATTTATTTGATTTTATCCGTTTTGCGTTGAATATAATTCTTATTTTCTGAACTTTTTGTCAAGTTTTGATTTACATATATATTGTCTGCTTAATTTTATTTTGTGTTTTTTTTCTTCCTTTTTATATTGTTTGTTGAGAATTTTGTCACATATACTTAACCATGGCCAATTACTCTACAAGTTTTGATCGCAGCTGATACAACTTTATCGCATTATAGATGCATCAAATGGCTAAAACAATATCACGCCATTTTGTTGATCAAGGGATCTTAAGAGACGAATTAAAATTGGAGTCACCAGAAACGAGCATATATGAAAATTTAAGTATCTGGGAAGTGTTTCGGATATCCGAAGGCGAATACGTATAGAGAAAGATGCTTTCCAAAAGCTAAGCCAAGTATTATGAAACAGGAACAGTCTCGTCACAGATGAAGAAAACACTTGAAGCAAAAGAAATGTAGACCCACAGAAGGATGCTGAGAATACCATGGACTGAACATGTGAGTAACGAGGAAGTTTTATGGATTGATTTGATTTGATATCGGCATATCAACTTCTTATGGGTCATTTAATACCGAAATTTAATTTTCTGCGACTTTTTGATGTAATAAAAATGTTATTCTGCTTTCACAACTGAATAAATGGTAGATAATACTCAGCTTTTGTGTATATACGTTGTTGTGTGGACATAATTACGAGAGGAAATTATGTGCGTATGATGCTGTAGCTCTTTTAAATTATATTTTGGGATACTGATATTTTTACAATAAAATGTATTTTTATACTTTCATAGTGTTTTCTTTAAAAAATATTGTAAAATACCAGGAATATTTTTATATATATATAAAAAATACCAACAATACATCAATCAGCTTATACTTATGAAATGTATAAAGTCCGACAATTATTTTAAGACATTTTTATGTTTATACATTGTTTTTATAGATACAAATATTTAAGTAAATGCTCTGTTTTATAATAAACAGTATTAAACAACATTTACTGGCCTGAATGTCCGAGAAATTTTCATAGAAAATATTCGTCCTCCGACAGGAATCGAAACTGTATCTTATACAAGAACCGTCATATAGCCTGACGTCCTTTTACCGAGTGAGCCACAGTTGTTAATAGTATTTATTATAAATAGTGCATTTACTTAAATATTTGTACCTATAAAAAAAGAATTTATAAACATAAAAAAAATGTCTTAAAATAATTGTCGGACTTTGTCCATCTCATAATGTGTGACGTCATTTGTTTACATTTGGATACGCATCGAGCAGATATGAATGTATGAGAGAAAATCATAGAGAATTTTAGTTTAAAAACAGTAAAATCGAACTTGCTAACCGAAACGCTCCTCTATAAAAAATGTCTTAATAACATATACTCAATTTATACTTTCATAGTATTTTGTGTAAGAGGCACGGCGATGTGTAGCGGCTTGGATTAAGGAATCAAAGAGCCGAGTTCGAATTCCAGTTGAATCTGTTACATTCACTTATGTGCTAATACCCTTGGGAAAGGTATGAACGCTTCTTCTCCCCCCATCTATGGGTAAATAGCAGGATAGACTGGGTTCTGTAGCTTTGGATGGCAACTGGTCTACCGCAGAAAGAAATGGCAAACTATTGCGAGATAAAATCTGCCTCGTCAGTCAGGTATCGAAAAGATATATGATTGTCTAAGCGTCTACCATGCATGGCACATAACTGACTGAGTGTTTTGTTTGGGGGTTTGCTATTTAACCTGCGTGGGGCAGGGTGGATCTGGGAACAACGGCAATTAAGAGGTGGTTCCACAATCCTCAAAATCTCCCGATCAGAGGCCTTGCTGCCAGATGTAATTTATCGTCATACCCAGGACTCTGGAAAATGGAAACAAAAAGGAAACTTATAGTTAGAATCAAACAGTTGAAATTTCTGGTATATATAATGAGACAGAAGAGCTTGAAGAATTTGAAACATGCAGGTGATACTGAAGACAGCGAATGGAGGAGACGGCGGAAAGCGGCGAGTAACCTTTCTAATGAGCTTGTGTAAACAATTGACAGAGCAGGGATCGAGAGTGATAGCGTTAACACAGAACATGCAAAGAGCTAGAAAGAACAGGAAGCTATGGAGAGACATGATCATCCACATCCTGAGAAGAAACGGCACGTAGATAACGAAGATGCACGGACTATTATTATTAAATTGGTCTTGTGCCAGATTAGACAATGGATTTTAAGTAACTTTTATACTACCTATCGTCGTGCGATTACTGTCTTTCTCGTCTCTTCTACCATTTCTTTCGTGTTGCCATGTCGATTATCCCTACCCTAAACTTAAGTTACGCTTAGAAATTTGTTCCGTCTATACATTCCTTGGCATGTTCCATTTTTAGCGATAAATCGTCGTTAACGTAGTTTAGTAGACTGACACACATTCACGTTTCGGTAACTGATAGCCTCATGAGTAGGAGAACGCTCAACGATAACTTACTTTCTGATATGACGCCAAGGATTTCTTTTAAACTTTTGCTTCGCATTTTATTCAGACTTTCGCTCCGCCGACTTAACGGCAACAGGAATACTTGGACTATTTTTTCGAAGCGCATATGCACGAAAGAACGCGTAATTTAGCAAACCGCTTAACAAATCTTATCTTATGTGTACCCGTACGCCAGAACAGTCACGATGTCTGTCCAATCTTGATCGACCAATTGCAGGAATGATATCCTGAAAGACAAATAAAATGAAAGGAAAGTTTACTGACTTTTACAAATACTCCTAGCTGAAGGATATTCTTTTTTTTGTCTGACAATTCAACGTTTGGCACAACGTATTTGGTAATGGGGATATTAGCCTTTTCCTTATAAGGAAACATTTGGCATACATTAACAGAGCAGCCAGTACTGCTTTAGTTTGAAATTTATAAAAATATTTCTCATAAAAAGAATTTTTCAGGAAAATAGGCTTTACAAGTCCAGTAGATGTTATCGCTCCTTCCAGCATTGATGGGAATTTCCTTCCTAACTTTTCATTTGAAGTTGTGTGGAGTGTCAACATCTTGATCACTTCAATACTTTTTCTTCAAATTCCATGTGCTATCCATTTTTGTTGTTGCTTCTGTTGGTAGTCCTCAAGTGATGGAGTTTCTCTTTTCTGATACAGTTCTTTATTCGTAAATCTGTAGCGTCAGTCCACAATATTCAAAGAAGAATGTTCAGGCTTCACTCGATCAAAGCCTTTTTTAACCGTTGATCTTATTGTAATTGTCATTTTGGCTGTTTCCTTATAAGGAAACATTCGGCCTTCATTGACCGAACAGATAGCGCTACAGAGAGTTGAAATTTATAAAATATTTCTCATAAAAACGGAAAATAGGTTTATCAAGTCCAGTAACTGTTATCGCTCTTTCCAGTATTGATGGGGGTTTCCTTCCTAACCTTTTGTTTGAAGTAGTGTGGGATATCAACATATTGATTATGCCATTATTTTATTTTCTAGTTACATGTGATATTTATTTTAGTTGTTGTCGTTCTTGGTTGTTGTCGTTCTGATATGGTTCCTGTTATTTGTTCTTTGTGAATGTATAGCGCCAGTCTACAGTTTTCAAAGAAGTATGATCTTTGGTAAGAACCTCGGGCTTTATTAGCTCAAAGTCTTTTTTGACTATTGATCTTAGAAAGCGGTTGTATACAGCTGAGAGTTAAGATATATCTGAACGGGTTTGTTGCTATGCTTGACATCCATATCTGACGAGGTGATTTAACACGAGTTTTCAGGTTGATCTTTCGTTGTTTTTCTTTAGCAGTTTGTAGTGTTGAAGGAAACTATATTCAATTTCCTTGTCGTCTGTAATAATTTTTTGAGCTTGATCCAGAATCTGAGTTAATTGATGAAGACGATTCCAAAGATTAAGACTACTAGATCTGTATATAGGTCGGTCTTAATTGATCAATATTGAGAACCAACTTTGAATAATGGTAAGCATAAATTTGGAACCAGGAAAAAGAATTTAATCATTCTTATTGATTCTCCATCTTTACCGTTAAAATAATTTTATTATAGCTTATGCGTATTCACAATAAAAAAAAATATTGTTTAATATGGCTTCAAATAAATGAGGTTTCCAGTAAGGATGAACAGTTCCAATCTCAATTAGGTTCTATGCTTTGAACGTCTGTTAAGTCTCAAGATCACTCCAGACATTACATCTTTACCCTTTTCATTTTCTTCTCCTCTCTCTCAGTTTCGGTCTTTCTCTCCTCATTCTTTCCTTTCTCATTTTCTTTTTTAAAATTTTTCTCCCATTCTCTTCCATTTATCTCCTTCTCTTTCCCTTTCTCACTTTCATCCGTTTCTCTCACTTTCTCTCTATCCACTCCCTCTCTCAATTTCTCTTCGTCTTTTTATATTTTTCTCTTCCTCTTTCTTCCCCTCTCTTTCTATCACTTTCTTTCATATTTTTTATTTATCCTTCTCTTTCACTTTCAATTTCTCTCTTCATAAACTTTCTCTCACTTTCTCTCCTCTTTTCTCCGCCCCCTCTTAATTTTTCTTCGTATTTATATCCTTTTCTCCTTTTCTCTTACTCTGTCTATATACCTTTTTCTCCTATTCTTAATTTATTCTCCTCTCTCTCACTTGTCATTTCTCTCGTTGTACTCTTTCTCTCTCCTTTTATTTCTCTTTCTCTTCCTCTCTTAATTCCTCTTCGTATTTCTATATTTTTCTCCTTTCTGTATCTCTCTCTTTTTCTCTATCACATTCCCTTCCATTTTTTTATCCACTCCCACTCTCTCACTCCACATTTCTCTCTTTATAACTATTCTCCCACTTCGTCTGCCTCCTTCTCTCAGATTTTATCTCTCTTTCTCTCTTTCCCTCTCTTACTTTCCTCGTTATCACATTTTCTCTTTCTCTTTCTTTGTCTTACCTTTTCTCCTTGCCTCTCCTTTTCTTAAATTATCCCCCCTTGCTCTCCTTTTTTTCCTCAATTTATATACCTCTTCTTCTTTTTTCTCCCCCTCTCATTTTCTCACTGTATATTTCCTGCCGTTTCATTTACTCTCTCCTCCTTTGTAGTATCCTCACGTACGCTTTCACTAAGATATTTCATTTCACCATTTGACACAACATATGTCTGTAAGAAAACATTTCCTAAGTTGAAAAAAGTTAAAACTGCATATAGGTCGATCTTAATTGATCAATATTTAAAGTCAACTTTGATGACAGAAAACACAATTTATGAACCAGAAAAAAAAGTATTTATTGGTTCTTCATCTTTACCGTAAAAATGATTAGAGATTATTCCTATAGATAACACAATATATTATAATAGAAGCGCTTAGAAGAAAGATTAATTCTCTCATTTATATTTCCCCCATTATGGGCATTATTATATCCATGATATAACAGCACCGATATTTCACGGACAGAACACGGAATGACTGAAAGGAAAAAGAATAACAAACATGGTTTTTTCTCAGTAAGGGCACCTCGACGTGGTGTAATGGTTAGAAAGCTTGTCTTGCTAGATCAATTACGACTGAGTAGTGAGTTCGATCCTCACTGGGTGTCCCATACTTTCGGCCTTGTGCCACATCTAAGCCTCGCTTAGAAAATCAATATAATATTAATACATAGAAGAAAACTATATATACACGTCTGTTTATATTTCTTAGCTGAGGTATTATGATTACTTACATTATTCGGACTGTTATCCTCATCTTTGTTACCATATTCACAACGTTTCGGCCGTCGTACGCCCCAGCCTTCTTCAGGTGACTGGAATATCCATTTGACATTCCTACACCGATATAGAGACTTATGACTCGTCCCTTCAGGCTTGGCACCAAGACCTCTTGTAATTTCAAGGAGAGCTTCTCTGGTCGCAGAAAAAGCAGGACACGCCCTTGTCCGAGAGAGAATCCAGTACAAATGTTGAATAAAACAGAAACTACAATCTGATATCCCCCCAGAGGCTTAAGGCATTCTTCAACAGGATTACCGACGAAGAAGACTGAATGAGGATCAATCACAACTTGGATAAATCTTTCTGATGTGAATTCGATGCAATCAAGGCCCGCCAACTCTGTCTTTTCTACAAATACTTTCATGATAATTGCTCCGATGAGCTGCTTTCACTGGTTCCCAGACTCCATGAATTCAAGCGCCGTACGAGGCTGGCATCACGCTCCCACCCTTACACTGTAGAAACTTTTAAATGTAGCCGTCTCTTCTACTCCAATAGCTTCATACCTCGCACCTCTCGCCAGTGGAACACCCTTCACAATTATTGTTTCCCTGAGAGCTATAATCTCCAACTATTCAAATGTAATGTCAATCGACATCTCCAGTTACCTTGATCTTTTCCACTATCCCTCTCCTCATCCTTTCTTCTATCACTCCTATCTGCTCTCGCTCCAAATCTTCTGCAACCCCCTGCATCCTAGTGGCTTCACGCCTTGCTCGGGGCGTAATGCTTAAAAAAAAATTATTTATTTATTTATTTTTTATTTTTGCATGAATGTTCCCCAGAAGAAATCTACCTGTGTATAGTGCAAACAGTCAGCAAAAATGCTTGGTTTTAACCTCTTCCAAAAATTACCTGTGTATAGTACGCCCCCCCCTATTTTCTTCGTAAAAAAAAACTGATAATAAAGACTCATACTATACTTAATGATAATAATAACTCGAAAAGAGCTGAACAAAATCACTTGCAACTACTCATCATGACCGGGTGTGGTCGTAGGGTCGCAGCGCCGCTGAACACCTGACCAGTGTCTGAGTTTCTTTCCGGAAATGTATTCATTAATTTCCTTCGTTCCTTTTGGGCAAATAGACAGCGGAGCCCATCACACATCAGGTGAAAATACAGCCGATGTACCCCAATGCCTTGATCATAGATATCAGGGGAAACCTCCGCTCTGCCCTTTGACTTCAGTCTTGTAAGCTGTGTCGCACTGCATTGCTATATTGCTCCATTGTGTTCGATAGCCGTTGACCCCAGAGGAATGTTCATGAACCCTTTGACAGCTCCTATTTTTATTACTGCTGAGTATCTAGCCACCTACAGTTTTTAACCTCCTCCAAAAAATTACCCGTGTATAGTGCAACACCCTATTTTTGCGTAAATCTCTCAAAATACTTGTGTATATACGGTAATTCCTGTTCGTTTATTGTTTTATTTCTTTCTCGTATTCTCTAACACTCAGAAAACCCCTTGGGTTTTAGTGTTTTTATTGCCTTGGTTAGGACGAAAAGATTTTTTAAATAAATGCTGCTTTGCCTATGCTCCGCCCTTCCTAAAAATACATTTGAAATTTAATGAAACCTTTTAAAAATATGTTGAGGTAAAAAAAAAGAAGCAGGCATGGTTGAACGCATAAAGTTTGTCTAACTTCTTTGGCAGAAGTAATTAAAAGATGTTTACGGCATCAGGCTTAGAACTTAAGTAGGAATCTAATAAGAGACACATTTATTTGTTTTAGTTGTTTGTTAAAGTCTAAATAAATAAAGAAAGCGAGGGAGTTAATAGCTGTATCCATGTTCGAATTAATTAAAAAGTGCAAGGGACCGGAAGGACTGTTGTGTGGAGAGTAGAAAGATTAAGCTTAAAATAGAAAATGTTTCAAGGAACGTGGGTCGTTTTTCGATAAATCAGGAGTCTGGAACAAGGAATGAACCAAAATGAAGTCGAGTGTTAAAAGTCGGCGATTGTCAGCAACAGAGTCTCGCAAGGATTCACATAACAGTGTATCAACACACAGACATACTTGCACAATTCTACTTGCATGCCATTCTGTACTGCCTTACATTCTTATGAACTCTTTCTCTATGCAAAATTAACTTTACACTAATTAATCTCTATATATAAAACAGAGTATGTCTGTTTGTCTGTGTGATACCTTTTCACTTAATATCCATCCAACCGATTTTGACCAAACTTGGCATACACATTGTACGATGTAAGAGATAGGTTCTTAGCGTAAAAAATCGATGATTTATAAAAAAGTCAATAATCGATAAAGCCGATCAAAAATTGATAAATTCAACTTTTTTCTTCTGATTTCGTTCAAACTCGGTATGCTTGCATCATGACGAGCTCAACGGTACCTCATTTTTTATTTCTACACCACTTAGTTTAGCGAAAAACCGCGGAAAACGAAAAATCGATTTGTGTTGAAAACACAAATTTTAAACTAAAAATTAACTCAAATTTCACGCAATCTAATACAAACTTCACTCAATTGTAGCCAACAATAAATTGTTTTACATTCGTTTAACTTGATAACTTAGTCCATCCATATAGTGAAAACCCGCGTTTAAGCGAAAAATCGTGATTTTTACTGGTTTCTTTCGTATTTTTCGTTGATCTTTCAACCAATTATCATCAAACTTAACAATTCTTTTATAAATGTATCTTCTTTTACATCCTTGGTAGAACACTAACAAATTGAATTTCAAAAATTTCAAAATAATTGTGGTCTGAAGTGGGTCTTCATGTTGTCTGTTTTAACCCTTCATGTCCTCGGCTAACTTCGAATGAATAAATACTGACTACTTGTGTTATATCAGTAACTGCATTAATTGGAAATTTTTTTTAAAAAAGTACTTTAAATTTATTGAAGAAGATTACATCCAGATATGATGCTGTTTTTGCTCCATTCTAATTGAACGCTTTTTCTGATCGACCAGTTGCATATGGCTGCTAGTGTATACTAAATCAGCATGCATACATATATACTAAATCAGCATACATAACGAAATTTGGTATTCTAAATATAAGGGTGTCAGTTTCGCTGGGAGTGTAACAGGCAACCATCTAGTCTAGCAGGTTTAACGGTGAATTTAATATTCCTTGATTGCTCCAAATATGCAGCCCAATGCCATACTAATAACTAACATTGCTAAATATTATAAGCACCATCAGGTGATGGTTAAAGATCATTAAACAAGAGTTCGGCAAAGGTTTTGGGTAAGTTTACCATACGAGCAGAATTTAGAAACGCGTTTCTTCTTTATTTGGAGAGAACTCGAACACCATTAATTAAGTTCTCTTAATGCCCTGTTTCCCATAATGCCACGTTTCCCATAACCGATCCCAGCTTGACTTCCCACCGGGTACGCACTGCTCATTGGCCAAGTGATGTGGTATCAAGAATTGAATTTTCCTGTCATGCTGTTTTTCAATTACATTCAAACTTACATTGAAAGCACGATTTAATATTAGTGGTCAGCCGTACTATTCAGCTAACTTGAAATTACGGGCGTTTTTTATTTAAATATACTAGGATGGTCGGAAAAGTTCATGAACCGGTTACGAAGAAGCGATGCTAGAACTGTGAAATCTTGCATGCATTCATGTCAACTCTTCTTATTAATAACTGCATTGTCTCTTTCTAGGTACGAGGGTGGGCTGAAAAGTTCATAGGCTGACTATGAAGGAGTAGTGCTTGAGCTGTGACATCTTGCAGGCATTCATTTCAATTCATCTTAATAATATCATTGTTTCTTTCCAGGTAGGATGGTGAGATGAAACGTTCATAGTGTGACGTCCCCCCGGTGTCGCTGCGCAAATGTGACGTCTGCCTTGCCGCGTCCGTCGTGCTATCCTGTCCTGTGACGACCAACTGACTTGGTATTGGTCACGGCACCAAATGTGACGTTCTAACCTTTTGGTGATTCGGATGGGAATCTGGTTAGATTCGGTATCAGTCTTGTCGTTCCCAGCTCGCCTCCAACGTCTGGTTACCGAAGTAACTGTTTCGATTTCCAGTCTAGCCTACCCACGCTGTGAATTGATCTTAGGCAGACGAAATCAATCAGTCGCCGGGCCGTAATGCAAGTCGAGTTCGAACAAAGGTGATATCGCACAAGTATATGTAAAATAAAATAAAATAATAACTCGAAAAGTTCAAATGTGTTAAAAAAGGATAACAATATTTTATATCTGGTTTCT